GGTGGGGGTGGTATTGCGGGGGGGAGAACTGGAAGTTGTCTGGGGTTCGTGAGCCCGGGCGGGGGAGGGTTGGTGTGCAAAGCCCTTGTCCCCGGTTCTGTAGCAGGCTGTGTTGCATTGCAGCAGTAGCTGCTTTTTTTCTCCTTTGAAATCAATAAAACGGTGTGTGTGTGTGTGTCTGTGTGTGTGTGTGTTTTTCAGACCCAAAGGTAAGAGTGTGTGTGTGTGTGTGTGTGTGTGCGTGTGTGTTTCTCAGACAAAAATCAAAGGTAAGAATTGGATATACAGAGGTGAAATAGGTTTGGATTGAAACGGTGGAACATATGGTGTGATAGGTTTCCTTTATGTGCCTCCAGTTGACCGGGATGTGGCGTGTCATTCATTGGACAACCCCCACCCCCACCCCCAAGTCTTCCCCAAGCTTGTTTTGTGTCCATAACCTTCTCTTTTCGGATTGGTGCAAGACTTCATGAGAAATGGGACTTGGTAGACTGAAGGCTGGTCCATTTTGCATTATCATTCTTAAAGGCCTTCCTTTTAGGTTAAATAATTGTGGATAAAGTAAATTACTCCATTTCTGTCTCCTGAAAGAGATAGGCTTACATTACAGTTTGTTTGGATTTGAATCTCCTTTGTGTTAAAGATTAATGGGCAACCGTTGCCAAGACCTTTATAATGTAATACAGTGAGATTTCAGTGATAATGATCCACAAATTTCTTCGCTCTGGCAAGAAAATGTCATGTCATTGGAGTTTTTTTTTCCTCAATTTAAGTTGTTTCCTTTTAAACTTGAGTTTTCATTTTTTTTTTATCAGAGGTGAACACATTACCATTTCGCTTTTAAATCTGTTTTATGTTGTGTTTTCACTTAAGCTTACTATGAGTTATATCATCCCCCCTCCCCGATTTCAAGTTACAGGTCTTTATTTATGACAGCCTTAAATTTTTCCTTAATGCTGTCTTAAATGACTCCTTTTCCTTGGCGATTTCACACAAGCCATTTTCAAATGTTTAAAAAGTAATTATGGCATACAAACCAGAAACCATAATTAATCTTTGTAAAGTATGACTTGGATAACTTCAGTTATATTTTTATATATTTTTTTCAAGCTCCTAGTGTCCTTGAAAATATAGGAACTGTTACAAAATATACTATTGATTTCTGCTTTAGTGACTTAATGCTATTGTGGTCTTACAGAACAGAAGTTAATAGTTTTTTTTCAAACTTCAGCTAAATTTATCCTAACATTAATGCAAAATAATGAAAGCAACATATTTTAGAATAAAATCAATAATCTCTAATTCAAAGATTATGAACAAAATAAAGTTTGGGACACTCAGTAAAATTTAATAGTATATATTGTAGTCAAGCTGTCTCAGGTAAATTATGTCTACACTTAACAGTTCTAGTAAGATGTAACTTTTTTTTTTTTTAAGCTGTTTTGTTACTTCCTTCCTATGTACACTGCTGTTTTTCCAGTAGCATAATGTGGAGCATCCTACCCAGGTCTGAACAGTTTGTTTAAGTAGTCTACAGTAATTCTTTGTAGGCTGATTTTGAATCATTTAAGAGCAGAAAAGAGGATCAGCTTTTCACTTTGAAGGGCTTTGGATTATTTGGTAGGTGGTTTGTGCATCTTGAGTGTGAAGAGTTGCTTAGACAGCTGAGAAAGTGGGGTGGTTGGTTATGAGGTAAAAGAGTCTGCTGGAAGCAAAATTGGGGTATTTTGGTGTTTAAGAAAGTACTTTCCAAAAAAAAAGTACTTTCATAATTGTTTAGTCTCCATGATGCTTTTAAATGCCATAAGGCATAAATGTTAGCCTTTTCATGGAATGCTTTTTAGTTATGTGAAGGATAGTTCTGATGCTTTAAAGGCCATCAGGAAGGAGGAATGTTGGGTAAGCATTTCCATTTAAGTTGGCTAGAACTCTGAAGAAATGACAGTGTTGAGTATTTGTGACACGATTTCCCTGGTGCTTTAATTTTAGGAATAGCAGGCTCATTGTCACATGGTATAATCTATACAGAAGGGAACTGAATGGTATTTTACATTCCTGAAACAGTCATAAGACACTCTACACATGTAAAATGCTGCATATAGGTTAAATTTTGCTTAGAGATGAGCATTAAACAATGAAGAGATCGGTTATGCACACAGGACAGTGGAAGAGTTGAGACAAAAAAGCCCCCAAAACCAAAACAGCTGATACTTGATTCCCATTAAGGTTTTTGGTTCTATTTTTCACTTACGTAGTGTTTCAAAAGTATAAGAAGATGCTTTGTAATGGAAGGAATATGTATGTGTTAATAAAATGATTGCGTCTTTTTAACACTAGTTGATCTCAAAATTTAATCTTTTTTTTTTTTATAGAAAGAGGAGCCTGTCATAGCTAAAATAGCTTGTTGCCTGTAGTCTGATCCCTAAGAGCTCAGAAAATTTTGAATTGGCATTTTTGTGTCCATATTGTATAGTCTAGGCTTCCGCTAGCTACTCAGACTTTCTCATGTAAGAAAAGCATAGTGGGGTTGTGAGGATTTGTCCAAAGCCACTTACTAGCTGGGTAACCTTGAGCTAAGCATGCATAGACATACCTACACACAACACACACAGACATATACACACATAAAATCTGTGTGTGTGTGTGGTGTGTTTATATAGGTGCATATATTTGTTTGCTTTTTTTTTTTTTTTTTGGACAGGGTCCCCTTAGTCCTACCCTGCCTGGAAGTCACTGTGTGGACCAGGCTGGCCTCAGTCTTGCATAGATCCACTGCCTCTGGGCTGGGATTAAAGGCACATGCCACCACACCTGGCATTTGTTTTTTGAGACAAGTTCTTAGGTATTCTAGGCTAGCCTCAGACTGGCTGTGTAACTGAGGGTGCCCTTAATTCTGATCCTCCTGCCTCTACCTCCAGTGCTGGGATACAGATTTATGACATCATGCCCAGTCCTGTGCAGTGTTGGGAATTGAACCCAGGGCTTCCTATGCATTAAGTATTCTGCCAGCTGAATGCATCCCTAGCCCCAGTATACATAGAGGTAATACTGGGATTGAGAATCAAATAGTAAAAGGTGCTTCATGTGCTTCTTTTATTTTGAGGTCCACTTCTATTTTAGACAGTTGTGTAAAACTTTGGGGCAGTTTGCTTTATCTTTGGACCTTATTTAATTCAAGGGCACATAGGTTATATTTTCTTACATACTTCAATGGATAATGGCTAATATGCAGATAAGAGCATTGTACATTTCTGCATTTGATGGGGAAGAATGCCAAGATTCATTAATAATGTGTACTTGGGACATGGGTCCAGAGAGTGGTTCCAGGAATGCTACTTCTCTAAGCAACTGTGATCTAGACCAGCTTTATTCTATAGGTAAGGAAACTGTTCTTTTAACTTTTCTCCATATGTTTAAGTTTAGTCTTTGAAGAATTTCTTGTGATTTTGCTGCCTTCATTTATGGTAAAGATAAATTTAATACACATTTTAGAGTGGTACAGTAAAGAGACAGAATATTCAGCTTATATACACTGACTTGTTAATTGAGTAGATTGGTAAAAGAGATAATCCTATTATTTTACAAGATTGTAATATCAAGTTATATATTCATGAAAGGATATAAATAGTCTGCTCTCATGGGTCTCCATTTATACATGCAGTTGTTGGATGTGTGACTTTTCCACGGATTTTTTTTTTTTATTAGTACGAGCTACATCTTCGTTGTTTTTGAATGTCAGCATTATAGGTATTTATTAAATGAATAACTCTTGACTATGAGTGTGCATACGTAAATAAAATTTACTTCAGTATTCAAGGTTTTAGGTACCTTATTAATTAAATTGGAATAAGCAAAGTAGGCAGCATCATTTATCTAGTAAAAAAAATTACATTTATGGTTTTAATAATTTATCCTTTAATAATTTAATAATAGAAAGGTGTGATCATGTAATTTGCAAACACCCAGTCTTTATTATGAGAGTAAAGAAATATTTAGAAAAAGTAATGTCAATTTTCATGCAGTTGTAGATGAAAACAAGCTCTCATTATCTTTTTTTTTCCTACTCCTTCTTTGAAACTAGTGGGTAGATTTAAGAAGTAAAAGTTAAAGACAGACTCTGAGTTGAAGAGGAACCTTATGGATACCCCTCCAAATAGGAACTTAGGAACTTTGCTTTACAGGAAACATGAAGAGTGAATAATCTTCTTGTGACACCGTCTGAGAAGTCCTTGACTTGTCTTTATTTTTTTGTAGTTCAAATACTATTTCCCAAGTCATACTACTAGTCACACATTCTTCATTTTTATAGTCAAGTGTATCAGTGCAGTACTTGGAAAATACTATATTCATATGTGTTTGACTTTGATGTTCTCTTTTAGAATCTTACATACTAACAGCAACAGTCACCTCTTTGGAGTGTTTGTAACATTCTAGAAGCTATATGGGCACAGCTTTGGTAGGATGTAGTATACAATTTGCAGATATTAAGATT